CCTGATCAAGCCAAGCTTGTTAAAACATAGGCATAGGCTTAGGCTTTTTTAAAAACCTATTTTGTTTAACAGATCAGAGGCTCAGGTTTTATAACAAAGCCCACAAAGCCTATTAGGCAGCTCGCGCCTGTCACGCATTTTGTATTTATATCCAATCATGTTAAAAACACGTCTTGGGATTGAGGTTTGAGGAATACTATTTCTCTCTATAGTATTCCCCAATCCCACATATATGGGTTTGACTAATCTCATATAATAAATAATCTCTCATGCTAAATACTCTTTTAATAAATTTTTTCAATCTCAATCCCTATTTCTAATTTTCAATGCTTCCTACTAAAGTGTCCATTTCGCTCCACTTTCCTCAAATGATATCGTTCTTTCCTTTTCACTTACAGCCTGCACTCGGGAAAAATAACACAGCGTCCTCCTCGCTATAAACACAGTCTCTCCCCCCGGCCCCCACCGGGGGCCGCCCCAGGTGCGGACTATAAGAGAACGAACGACGTCGTTTGAGGGAGGTGGAGCGAAATAGACCCATATTAAATGGAGAGACCCTTTGCCGTGCCCGACACACGTATCGCCTTTCGATGTTTTGCATTATACAAAAATAGTCAAATAAGTTTGTTACAAATTTATCATAATACTCATGCTTCGGAAGAATCAAGTATATCCAGTAAAATATTGTGGCGACATATCTTTTTTTTTTTAATACTCCTCGGGTCCTTAATATAGGACCCAATTCTTGAGTTGGTTTTGGTCCTAAATATAAGACCCATTTCTTATATTTATTAATTTTCTTTAAATTACCCCTATGGATACTCTCTTAACCATAATCAAGTAGAAGAGGGAGGTGGGATATTAAGAAAGATGATTATGGTGTTTTAGGAAAAATGTGTCACTTTTCCTATAATTAACTAACTTACCTAACTTCTTTAATCTAATCAAATTAGTTAAATGGGTCTTATATTAAGGACCGGAGGAGTATATATACTTCCTTGCAATTAACGAAATTTTTCGTGGGAAATCAAAATTCAAACACTTTTTTTTAATGTTGGTACAAATTAGGATATTATTTTCAGCATTTATTCTTTTCATAATCTCCCTAATAAATACTATTTCTGTTTATTAATATAAGAGTTTGTTTGATTTTTATTTTGGTTTTAAATATGTACCTCAATTCACTTTGTCTCTTATATTTATTTTTCTCCAAAGTAATTATTATAACAATGGTGGTTCTAACTAATACACTTGATTACCAAAAATATTTTGAAAAAAATAACATTTATTTATTACAAATAACTAATATAACTAATTTTCTTAATATACTTCAATTAGTCAACTAGCTCTTACATTAAGGATTAGAGGTAGTATTATAATTATCAATTGAGTTGGATTTGATTTTATGACTGTTGAATTATTTAAATTGCTTGAGCATCACGTTGTGAATTTATTAGCATTACTACTTTTTTCTATGTAATGTTTTAATACAGAAGAATATTAAGGTAGCCCTATCTTATGTTAGTTACTAGTGCCTTGAGCCTGACCTATTTTATAAATTATTGATTGGATTGACAGATCAAATGGGGTGTTCTTATTATTTTAAAGAGGTGAAGGAGGTGCATTAAGATCGTTGTCTCAAATTTTAATTTGTTCATTGAAAGACGAAGCATGAAAAACAAAAACAAAAAAGAAAAGAAAACTACCCCTACGAAAGGCCATGTGCAGTGCGCACTATTCGCCAACCATTGTCTTTTCTTACTACGTGGGGAACGTGGACATTTTCAAAAGCAAAATAGCGCCGGTTTATGTCATGAGAAAACCAGTTTTGGTATTAATCATTTTATATGAGCATCTTAAACTTATCAGATTTAAATCACTCATATTTTATTTGAATATTCTGGATTTGATTTTCTTTTTATTTTTATTTGCTTAAAATAATTATTTTAATATATGTAAAATCTAAAATAAAAATAGTTTTTTAACTATTATTTTTTTAAAAAAAATTTTAAAAAAATAATTAACGAAAGATTTTAACTCTGAATAGTTTAAATCAGATATAGACGGTTCTAATCTGACGAGCTTAAAGTGCTCGTCAAAATGATAAGTACTCACAGTGATTCCAAGTGATGACTATTGACCTTTGAAAAACAAATTAATGCTGCCAGTTACTACGCAAATAAGGACATAATCATTTAATACTGCTTGTTATTATATCAGCAATACTGACGAGAAGATATATAAAAGATTACCAGACGTCGGAATCACTTTATGCCAATTAATAAGCGTTATTAGCGGAAGGGTCTAATCATTTGGCTCATTATTATTCTCTTTATCATCTGCCAAGCCATCTACTCCTAGAGAACCAGGCATTGCCGTTTTTCACTCATGGCTTCTTTCCCATTCTACGCCCAACTTTTCCTGATATGGGTAGTGTCAGCCATTCTGGTTCGAGCCCTACTCACCAGATATCAGAGCAAGGCTCGTCTTCCACCAGGCCCTCCGTCCCTCCCTCTCATCGGGCACTTCCACCTTCTTCCGCCGTTACCTCATCGAGCTCTTCATAATCTCTCCGCTCGTTATGGACCCATCATCCAACTTTTCCTTGGCTCTGTTCCTTGTGTTGTTGCTTCCACACCTGAAACCGCCAGAGAGTTCCTTAAACCCATGAATCTTATTTCTCAAACAGGTTAGCAACCGGTGCCGTCCACTACTTATCATATGGATTAAAAGGTTTCATGTTTGCAGCTTATGGACCCTACTGGAAGTTCACGAAGAAGATATGCATGTCCCAGCTTCTGGGTGCTCGCACCCTCGACATCCTCCATCCTGTGAGGCGAGATGAGACCATGAAGTTTCTGGGTGTTTTGCTCAGAAAAGGGCTGGCGGCCGAAGCCATTGATGTTGGCCACGAGCTCATGACATTGGCCAATGGTATCATATCAAGAATGATCATGAGTCGATCTTCTTCCGGAAACGATGATGAAGCCAAGAAATTAGGAAGTTGGTGACTGACACGGCAGAGCTCGCGGGGAAGTTCAATCTATCTGATTTTATTTGGTTGTTAAAGAACATCAATTTGCAGGGCCGATTGAACAAAAGGCTGAAAGAAATTCGTGATAGGTTTGACGCTTTGATGGAGGAGGTGATAAAGGAGCATGAAGACGAAAGAAGGAAAAGGATAGAGCTTGGGGAAGGTGGTCAAATAAGAGATTTGCTTGACATTTTACTGGACATACATGAAGATGAGGCTTCTGAGATGAAAATTTCCATGGAAAACATCAAGGCTTTCGTCTTGGTAAGTAGAGGTAGTTTAATCTCACCGACATCGTTTAATTTCCAAGTTGGATCCAGCCATCCTATTCCAATCATTGCGTGCTCACATCTCATCACTGACCCCATTATAAGCAGGACCGTATTTAAAATTCATGTCTACTAATTACGTACTTATCGTTCCTATATATCCACGTTGAATTGAATTATTCGATTATGTTCATGCAAAGGAATATTGAGTAGCCATTTCAATTTATTATCATTGAAACTAATCTGTCAATTGTTGCATGTTTTAGGATTTGTTCATGGCCGGAACGGACACTTCTGCCCTAACCACAGAATGGGCTTTAGCAGAATTGATTAATCACCCTCATGTGATGGAGAAAGCAAGACAAGAGATCGATTCAGTGGTGGGAACAAGTAGAATAGTAGAGGAATCTGACATAGTCAAATTACCTTACCTGCAAGCCATAGTTAAAGAAACTCTAAGGATTCATCCGCCGGCGCCATTGTTAGGAAGATTATCATCTGAAAGCTGCAACGTGGGTGGTTACGACATTCCAGCAAAAACGTTTCTGATGGTAAACTTGTGGTCAATTGGGAGGGACCCCAAGTTCTGGGAGGACCCACTTGGGTTCAGGCCAGAGAGATTTATGAACATGGAAGCAAGTGGGAGGGGGAATTTGGACGTTAGAGGGCAAAATTTTGAGCTGATTCCTTTTGGGAGTGGAAGAAGAAGCTGTCCAGGAGTCTCACTGGCACAATTAGTAGTGAAAACAAACCTAGCTGCCATGATTCAGTGTTTTGAGTGGACAGTGAATGGAGGCAATGGAACTGTGGATATGGAGGAGAAACCATCTATGACCCTTCCAAGGGCTCATCCCTTGATGTGTGTCCCTCTGCCACGTCCCCACCTCCTTCCTTTTATCATGCATGTGATTGAGCAGGCATAGCAAAATATTATTTATGTTTCGACCGGTGCTACGGTTGTCACCTAAGACAGACGTAATTTGTTTGCCAAAATGAAAATGGCCATATCAAGAGACGGACATGTTATAGTTACACAAATGTATGCATTCTCCACAATTCAATTAAATATTTATTCTTCCATTGAGTTTACTTTTGGAATTTCTCCTTTAGAGCGCAACAAATATAATATTGCTGCTAAATTTGAATATTGAAAAACTAATTCATTCGGTAATGGTTCAACAGTCTAAAGTCAACTTTAAATAGTTGTCTCCCTCAAAGTGAGGATATTTTCGTTGTGGATTGTGCATTTTGTTTTTTTTTTTAAATAGTCAATTATGTTTGTAAGAGTAAGAAATTTATCATATTATCATCATTTTTCCGAGGAATTAAATATCGAGTAGTGTTGTGGTGACGTACCCTATTTTGAATATACTTGCAGGGACTTATTTTTCCAGGGAAATTAAAAAAAAATTTTATGTAAGTTTCTTTGACAATATTGAATTACTGATTTTTTTTTTTTGCCAACTTGAATTAATGGTCTATTGACAGGGTCAAATAGAGTGAAGATTTTGATATATGAAGATTGTTAGTTGTTAAATAGCTTAAACGCCTTGAAGATCTAATTTTGAAATAAGAACACAGCGTCCCATTTACAGTGCATCGTTACTCACTACCTCCGAATCATCCATCGTGTCGTTCAACGACTTCGAATGTCTTTTCTGTTTTACGGCGAAAGTTACATGCTGAAGACTGAAGAGTTTATGGTGAAAACATTTATTATATCCTCTCTGTGCTGCCCCCAGGCCCCAAGAACGTACACATTTGGATAGAAAGGCATAATTTAAGCCATGCTTATTTTGGAAGACGGAAAGCAAATAAACTGCCGTCACTCTTCACTCTGTCGTGCTTTAAGGTTATGTTGAGTGAATAGTGAGGAATGCGTAGAAGTCGGTGGTGTTGAAGGGCACGGCGGGCCGATCCAATCATTTGCAGCTGGGCAGCGGAGATCCACAGAGGCACTTGTTATGAAAATAGGAATAAACATCAAACCTCTGCAACCTTCCGCCCTGAGGGATTTCGCCGCACATCCGATTGTAACTCACATTGAACATCTGCAAGAAATCCACCGCCTTCAATCCTTCGGGAAGCTTCCCGTATATCATGTTATGATTCAGGTCCAACGATATCAAGCTGGTGGGGAACTCCACCCTGCCGACATCGAACGCCAGCAAGTTCCTCGACAAGTCCACCGTCTGGGTCGTCTTGTTGGGCCCGAAAAGCATGTAGGCATCGCCCTCCAGCCTGTTTCTCTGCAACTCGATTCCGGTCGGGTCTTGGTTGGCGAGGGACGCTGGGATTCTGCCAGAAAGCTGGTTATGGGAGAGGAGCAGAGCAGGGGAGGAATTGAAGTATCCGAAGGAGTCGGGAATTGGGCCGGTGAGTCTGTTGCGGTCCAAGCGAAGAGATGTGAGTTTAGGGAGCTGAGAAAGAGAGCCGGGAATATGGCCGGAGAGGTTGTTGAATGAGAGGTCCAAAGACTGAAGGTTTTTGAGTTGGGCGAGGAAGTCGGGTACAGGGCCGGACAAATTAGTCCAGCTGATAGTGAGATAGGTGAGGGAGGTGAGGGTGGCGATGGCGGGAGGGAGGGGGCCAGTGAGGTTGGGAAGTTTATGGAGGATAAGGGTGTCGAGAAAAGGGAGGTTGGCAATAGAAGGAGGGATTTGAGCGGAGAAGTTGGTGTAGGGGACGGAATCGAGAATGGTGAGGGAGATGATGCGGTGGGTTTTGCGGTCACACTTAACGGTGTACCAGTAGCAGCAATCAGTATCGGGGGTCCAGGAGGCGAGGAGGTAGGGGTTGTTGAGGTCCTGCTTGAGTTGGAGGAGGGCCTTCTTGTCGGCCGGGTTGCAGAGCACGGCAAGGGCGGGCGAGATTAGTATGAGAAGGAAGCACACACGGAACATGGTTGCCATTGTTTCCTTTCCGATGGAGAGTGATGACCGAGGGATGATCCGTTTATATGACAGTAATGGGATTTGGATGGCCCATTATCACAGACTACGGCGGCCGCTTACGTTGAATTCAATTCACTGCACGCATTGCGGGTGCCCCGGCCCCATTCCCCGTACCCTTTTTTCTTTGCCGCATCCACTTCCCTAGGGGTGGTATTCGGTTTTTCGGTTCGGTTATCGGTAATAACGAATAACGAATAGAGTAAATTTAAACACCGAACCGAATCCGAACTAACCGAAACCGAATTCCAAAATTTCGGTTCTTAACCGATTAACCGAAATATATAAAATGAAAATAATTTTAAATTAAAATAATAATAAAACCAATATAACCATTAATTAATAAATTTCATCATTCAATGTGATTTATTATATAATATTTATTATAATCATGTTGAATATAATATATATAAAAAGTTCACATATACCACTTATTAAAATAAATATATAATATATTATTTCGGTTATTCGGGTATAACGAATTTTTTTTACTAACCGACCGACACTGAACCGAATTGTTTAAAAAATAAAAACCGAATATATAACCGAAAACCGAAATAACCGAACCGAAAAACCGAATTAAATTCGGTTCGGTTCAGTTTTCGGTTACGGTTCATTTTGTCACCCCTACACTTCCCTTTCCACGTCATTATCCATCCATCACAAATTAAGCTACGTAATAATTTAATTAAATTAGTATAAAGCGTATGTTATGTCAATTTTCCTTCAACTAATAAATACTTGGAGTTGAAAAAAAGCACACAAGAAAACTTATATTCAGGCTATAGATCACTAACCGCTGCCAAAAAAACGGGGGTTATGGATCATTAACTCAATCCCGTATTCTGCCTTGATTTATTGTTGTGCTCATACAAACCCGCATGCACTACTTTTGTATAGAATTCCAGGCTGGCCAGCACTCGTCCAAGTCAAAGTCAAACAAAGGCGTCTTCTTTTTTTAAAAAAAAAGGGGGGATAAAAATAGAGTACAACTTGGCTGTTTTCCATTGGAGCTCTCCCTGCAAAACAGTAGTGATTTTTGGTGCACGTTTTTACTCAAAGTTATTAGGCATTTCAAAGTTTTTGTAAGTACAGATATATCTTAAAATTTTGAAATTGTAATAATTTTATCTCTCACTATTAAAATATTAACACTTAACATGACATAAAATTATTATGATTTTAAAATATTGAAATAAAATTGCATTTTAAGAAAACTTTCAAATGGGAAATGTCCGGAACAAATTTCCAGAAATGATTGAGGAGAAATAGCTTAACTTTCAGACCTACAGCGGGTTCGGCTTGTTTTTGGGGTTTTAACTACTTTAGGTAATGGTCTGGAGCACACGCGAGCGGGCAACCTGATTTGGGGAGCAGTTCATCAACTTTGTAGATAGTAAGCGCGTGAGGATAACAGTGATTACCCCCCGAGGAATACCACGTGCAGTGCGCCCCATTTGCCAGCTAATTCGTTCCACGGTAAGCGTGAACAAGACCATGAACATGCAAACTATGCAAGTTGAGGTGCGCGGCCCCTTGCATTATGCCCCCGTGGGTTTCCTCTCTCACAACCTTATCCCTTGTCAACTGCAAGGAAGAAAAAACAGGACTGAAAATTAAACGGGTCAAGATAGTGGGTTAAGAGTTACTAGTTGGATCAGGGTCAAACCGGTCATATTAAAATAATATAATTTAATTCATAATATTAAATATATCATGTTGATTATTAATCAATTTTTTTTTTACCAAAAGATTACTAATGAAAGCTGAAACCACAATAAAAAAGATTGTGAAAATCGACTTTAAAGTCCCTTGAATTTATGTCCACTGTTTTTGATTTCGTTGGCTTTGAAATCTCAATAAAGAAGATTCTGGCAGTAGGTGAAAAAAAGTGAAAGAGCGCCAAATTCCCCTCCCACTACTTCTCCCTCCAATATCATATATCAGCACATACAAAAAGCACAGAACCAATTCTTATCATTGCAAAAGTTTCTACCTTTCTTCCTCTTCCTCTCTCTCTCTCTCTAACTTTTTGGAGTAATGTGTACTACAAATGAAAGATACCCACTAACAATCTCGTGAGCTTCTTACAGTTTACCGGGTTTCTTTCCTCGTTCAAATCTCTCATTGACTGCAACTATAAACCATTGAATCTCTCTCTGCAAAATCTTACTTTTCAAACTAAAAAAAGATGGCTCTCAGCTAAATTTTCACTCTCATTACTTGTTGGTATGCTCTGTTTTCACTATGGAAATGTACTAGTAAACAGAATTAAAAAGGCTTCTTCTTATATCATCTTTTCTGTCTGAGCTAATACGCGAAAAATGGGCTTTTGAGATTTTACTGTCTTCCTTGGTTTAGAAGAGAAGAGATTTTTTTATTTTCTCTCCATCAGTTTGTTTTTCGCATCTTCATCACAGTGATATTCCAGAAAACTTTGCTCGTGTTCATATTTGCCCCTGGCACTTGTCAGCTTTCTCTCTCGCGGTCGGTGATGGACATGATTTGGTTTTCTTCAAGGGAAGCTTCAAGTTCCAATAGGTAGTGAAAAGTAAGCGAAATTCATAGTCATTGTTCTTTTTCTTCCATAGTGTTCTGGTCGTAGAATTCACATGCTTAGTTTAAGTTCTCATTGGTTCAATCCCGAAAATCTGACTCCTGAATCGTCTGGGAAACAGGTCTCTCTTCTTCAAACCTTCGGATCTTTTCTCTGCTCAGAATACGATTTCCACAGTTTTGTTCCCCGATTGAAGGAGGGAGGAGCCGATGCTGCGCGAGCGAGAGGGGAGGGAAGGGAAATGAGGGAACTCGATGGGAAAACCGAAAAAGAGAAGAGGCGGTTTTTTTTTTTAATAAAATGGTGCCGTTTAAGATAGCTGACAGGTTAAAAAAAAATATAACTGGGTGACCCACTGAACCAGATTTAGCTGGTTTAATACCGGTTTTTTTTCCGGTTAAACCGGTTTTTCACCTGTTCAATGGACCACCAGTCCAACATTTAAACCAGACTGGACTGTAGACCGGTTCACCTGCTTTCCGGTTGAACTGGCCGGTCCGGTCTGGTTTTTTTTCTTTGGTCAACTGTGTCTTTCATGCGTGGACATCATCCACACACACACCACCAAATTAAATAATCCCCGCCAGATGGCATCGACATGTTTCCCTCTACCTTTCTGAAGCTCATGCTCTCCTCTGCCCTTCCTCCTCCGAAAGAGGATTCTTTCCTCTACCCTTCCCCTTCCCCACCCCTCCCATATTTCTTTTTATAAAATATTAAAACTGTATCACTTGATTATTGATAAAATTAAACTCCTAAATTTCCATCTAAACATTTTACCAACTGTATACTATTATTATAAATTAGATTCTTTCCCCTGATTTTTCAGTATTGCTGTGAATTCTTCATTTTAAATTTTGATCATTTAAATTTACTTATGTATTTCTCATGTAAAATTATAATACTACATTTGGTCATAAATATGAAAGCTGGTTAAAGGCCTTAAATATAAGATTTCAATCCACTTTGATCTATTTCACTAGGCTCGACTCATAAATTGATGGATTTAGGATCGGCCCACAAATTTTGATTCATTTAAAAAACAATATTTTTTTGATCCTTAATATAAGATTTAATTGTTAAGTTAATTTTGATCATAAATATAAGATCTATTTCTCACATTTATCAGTTTTTTCTAAATTACCCTCATGGATACTCTCTCAACTATAATCAACTAAGTGAGGGTGGAAGGATATTAAGAAAGATGATTATGGTATTTTAGGAAAAACATATCATATTTCTTATAATTAACTAACTTTTCTAACTTCCTTAATATAATCAAATTAGTTAAATATGTATTATACTAAGGGCGGAAAGAGTAAAATGTTTTTTTTTATATTTTCTATATGTTTTATAAAAAATTAAAATAAAACAATGATATTATCAATAAAAGGTATAGATATGAATAAAATTAAGTCACATACATAAAACATAATCGTATTTAAACATCTATCAACATTAAAAAAAAATATAAAATATTGATCAACAAGACTACAACATTTAAAAGTTCCATCAAAAGTGTTAATATAAAATAGACAAATGTTATCATCAATTTTTTAAAACTTCTTCATCACTGTTATTAATTGCTCTTCTTTATGAGTGTGCTCTTTTTTAGTGGTAAAAATATCAAGTTTTTTTTAAATAAAATTTTTACTTTCAAATTTTGTATTCTAGCTATTAATTAAACAAATTGTTGTCTAAAACTAAATAAATCAAACTGTTTTATGAAATTTAATTTCAAAATGATAATAATAACTAAATATTTAATGTATCATTAACAATATAAGAATTAATAATATTATGATTATATTTTTTTTTAAAAACAAAAAATTACAAAAAGTGCTCGTTTCACCCTCCGCCTTCCAAAATCAGTCTTTTAAAACTCGTTTTTCATTTGAAAGAAAAAATTTCAAATCAGGTCCTAATAATTTTCACGTGTTTTTGGGGTTTTAAATACCTTGGGTAATATTACCAGGAGCCTAACCACGTATGCCTACACCAACTGAGCCTTGACTGGGAAAGCTCCAACCAGGGAGGTGCGCCGCCTTTTAGCGGATGATGTTGTCTGTTTTGAACTTTCAAGTGTAATGCTTGCCTTATAATGCAAAAAAAAAAAAAAAATACTTTGGGTAATGATCTGGAGCACACGTGAGCGGGCAACTTGATTTGAAGAGTAGTTCATCAACTTTGTAGATAGTGAGCGCGTGAGGATAACAGTGATTACCCCCAGGAATGCCACGTGCAGTGCGCCCCACTTGCCAGCTAATTCGTTCCGCGTTAAACGTGAACAGGACCATGAACATGCAAACTATGCAAGTTGAGGTGCGCGGCCCCTTGCATTATCCCCCTGTGGGTTTCCTCTCTCACAACCTTATCCCTTGTCAACTGTGTCTTTCACGCGCGGACATCATCC